CTCACACAGTCTTAATGTAATATTGGATAATTATTAAAATTATAATTGTCATTGTAAATACAATCTGAATTTAAATTTTTATGTGATTTTGGATGTGAATAGTGGAAACAGGACCGATGCTCGGTTTACGATCAGGACAGGACGTGTCATTCCAAACGTAACATTCGCCATTAAGAGGAGAATAAAATTTTATGCGATCAGTCATTCCCGGAACAATAAATACTATTGGGATCGAATGGCAGGGAATGACGGTTTGATACCACCCGCTTTTGTGGGGAGATCGTGTCAAGCGTCATAAAAGTAATCGTTCTAGTAGTTTAACGACGACCTTCAAATAAAAGGAAATGTTACCAATTGCCTTTTATGTATGTATATGCAATTTTATTAAGTACGAACGATCCTCGATTTGTTTAATCTTCGTAAGTCAGCTGAATCTTCTTATCCTGATAGTATCTGTTCAGAAAATGACACGTCCTGATTCAGACATTATTTTATTCACCGAGGAACAAGTCTACTTTTTCTAACTTTAATGGCCGTTTTGGTTGTACTTCCGAAAAGCCTCGTTCTTCGAATAGGCTGAAACTTTGAAAATAAGTTCTTTTTACAAAAAATCATAATTGCGCGAAGGATTTTTGGTAAGTCGAAAAATTTTTTTACCATTTAGGTGTCATTGTCTATATTACGATGTAGTCACAACCGCGGGAATATGCAATACAGCTTTGAAAGCAAGTTGAAAAATCTATTTTCAATCGTTAGGTTAGGTTAGGTAGGTTACATAGGTTGGGTTAGGTTAGGTAAAAGGGGTAGGTTAGGTTAGGATTCATTTTTACAATAATTAATCGAGGATATCAAATATGTGTATGCAACAAATTAAGGAACCGACAAATTTTAAGTCACTACGGTGTTAAAATTATAGGAAATGACTTTGAAATGGTAAAAAATATTGTTTTGAGTCGCCGAAAATCCTTCTTGAAATAATGATTTTTATAAAAAGAGAACTTATTTTCAAAATTTCACATAATTCGGAGAACGTGGGTTTTCGGAATTTTCGCCGATGTTTTCATCCCTTCAATGTGAACAATTGCTAATTAAGAAAAAAAACGTGATGAGTATTTTTGTGATAATTATGCCTATGTCTCGTTTCATATCAGAGGACAGTTTGAACCTGTCAACATTCGAGATTCGCAGTAGTATGAACCATTTTATAGTCAGACACAATTAGCTACGTCTTGTATTCACTTCTACAGATTTCAGTGAACCGATTTCCCGAGCTCATCAACAGATAAAACGATGCAACAGAAATTAGTGTACCAAACTATGAAAATCATAGCGTTAGACAGAGATTAATCAATTCCATACAGAATTCGCAGTATTATACGCAGATGTATAATTGTAACTGTGAACGTAAGTCATAAACGTAAAGTAGTCATAAACGAAGGACATAATTACTTAACGTTGTAAATGTATCTGTCGGAATAATTAGTCTACGGGTATAAAGGCGGACATGATGGCACGCGGAGCTCATCATCACCTGGTTATCAAGGATTGATAAGATTCCGGTACAATGCGCACTAGTTTAATTAATACAGCGTCAGTCGCAAACGCCTAATTAAATCCCTCGACGACTCGGATGTGGCCCAAGCGCGTTATCCTACTTGTTGACCGAGCTCATTGACTAATGAGTGCGGGTCTAATCAGGTAGCGGCTGTCAGTCCGGATCGCGATGGATTCCGGTGATAACGGTTCATCCGTACTTAGGAACTGTCGTTGACAGGCGATACGTACAGGTGCCCTAACAGCGGCCATCCTAAAGGCGAACGCGTGCGAGCAATTAAACTCTCTCGTTGACCCATACCTAACACCCTCACCCTCTCTTTCTGTTTCTGTGACAGTTCGAGCAGCTGGCGTTCACGTGGATGGAGAGGCAGAAGCTGGGCGGCTCGTATTCTTCCCACAGGGCCCAGAGTGAGAAACACGTGGTGGTCTGCAGCACAACGTTACAAGCCGACACGATCATGGATTTCCTCAACGAATTCTATGCTCATCCTCTGCTCCAGGTGAGCCACTGAGTGAGATGTACCAGCGCTGTCCGACTTTGTTCAAGTCTCACAACGTTTCGGTGTCTGAAGGAGGATTAAAGCTGCAATTTATAGTCGTTTTTCAATTCTCAACTGCTTGTCATCTATCTGTTTTGTGA